GACATGTCAGAGATGTGTGGATATCCACTTTCAGCATGAGACACTGCAGGATTTAAATACTACAGTCAAATACCATTTGTACACAACATAATATTTATAGAACTCAGACAGTATGCTCTGTGCCAGGTCACATATTTCAAGGGCTCATACAAGCACGTCATTACCCAGACAGGAATAGTAAATAAAGATTAAAGACATCATTGGGTATTCTGAGAGCGTCACTTCATATTCCAATCATTGCACTGAGACCAATTGCTTTAAAGGCTATATGCTATGCATGCATTATTTATTTATGTTAGCAACTTAAAGGACTACTCTAACCCCTTGTTATTGTCAAGATATTTTATTTTAAAATGCCCTTTTGGGCACTAATAGTGTGTCCACTCGCCTGTTTTTAAGTAAAATGTTACTAAGACTTAATCTCAATCCAGTGCCAGATGAGGATATTCCACGCCCCATCCTATGTGACAAAATATCCATCCTTTCTTCTCCGTGGTCCATAAGCATTTGATTGAACCCATCTCCAGTCTCTGAGCGTATGCGTGCACCCTGAGTAGGAGGGCATGGAGGGGTGGGAAGGAATATTTGGATTAATAAAAAAATATTTAACTGTAAATGCAGGAGCGCAAGGTAGGAAGCAGATATCTAGGTTTCCCATTGCAAATGAGTTGCCATACACAGATTTAACATTATTAAGTCTGGAACAGAGTTTCAGGATGCCTGAAATGTGTACTTTTTGATTAGATGAAGTTGTTATGGTGACCGGAGTGTATCTTTAACCCTGCCTCATCTGCTCCACCATCTCTGTTCTAAAATGGTACCTTCCTGCTGGTTACTGTAGCTGGTACATATCACTTATTCTGTCCCTGTAGTAATATTCCAGTAACACAATTGTTTGGGTACTCAGGAAGTTGTATTTTCATTAACAATTTGCTTAAATAACATGTTGACTCTCCTTCAGAATCTCCTTCTCTGCCCATAAAACCCTTTGACACTCACCAATCCATCTAAACTAAAAGGAGTGTGCCAGTCACTGTCTACACCACACTGCAGTTGTAGATTGATTGAGAGCTACGTGTCGGCTACTACTGATCTACAGAATATTAATATATTATACTTAGCAAAATGTACACCATTTCCTTTGTGTGACTCCCCATTGCGTCTTTGTCATTTGCCCTGTTGTACCTGTTTTTATCTAAGGCAGGTTCTCTCTAATATCTATAACACCAATATGTCATACTTTTCTACTTTTGTATTTGATCGATTTCTATGTTTAGAATGCTATGTTTTGTCATCCCTTTTTTTACCCCGAACTGAACATAGTGATCTCATTGATTCAGTATCCACATGTGGTTATTGATTTGTATTGTATGCAATTCTTCCCTTCATGCACAGGAATGCTGTCCCACCTGGATGATAGTGTTCAGTTTTATATGGACTTTGAACTAGCATCTTGTCTTACTGTTGCGCTGTTTAGCTGGTTTCCCTTGAATATTTCTTCCTGCTGGACTCATTGGAACGCTTTTTAGATGAGCTCCAATATCACCTCCCAAAGCTTCACTGACATGCTCCCTGTGACCATTTGTGCTTGTTCCTAGCATTAACAACTTCTCTTGTATTCAGAGTACATCAGCACATTGATTTAACCCATAGAGGATCATAGCAAAGCCTGGAAATGTACATTTACCATTACCACTACATGCTTCTAATATTATGTTTATTGTTTTTAATTATGTTGTTGGCTGTTTTTTTTAATACAAAATGCTAGTTTGAATAATATTTCACTATTTAAAGGGACCACTAGAACAATTACAGCTTAATGTAATTGTTCTGGTGTCTATTGCATGTCCCTGCAGACTTTTTAATGCAAACACTGCCTTTTCAGAGAAATGGCAGTGTTTATATCACTGCATAGTAACAGTGGCAGTCTCATTTAAACGGCCACAAGAGGTTTTTCCTAGGTTGTGCAGCACTGAAGTTCACCGTCTCCACGCTCTACAAGGAGGCACTGGACAATTCATCTTTATGAGGAGATGCTGTTTAGCGCAGCATAGTGTTTTTGCGCAATACGTTCCAATTTGATGATCTCAGCCAAGGAGGTGGAGCGTGGGACGAGCCAGCCGCAAGGAGACCCGAGCAACACTGGAAAAAAAGTGAGTAAAATCACTGGTGAGCTAAGCGGCTCATTTAGACCTATAGTGGCAGGAATACATGTTTGCATTCCTAACACTAGAGTATTAATTTAAGCTTCACCAGTGGGAAATTAGAGTAGCACTTTTTAATTTCAAAGCAATGCTCCATCTTTTAAATGATGTCATCTCTTTTCTGCAGGGCAAGGTGTGCAAGAAGTTAATTTTCAAATTCTGCTTTTGCCTTAACACATCAAGGCTGGGCTTGCTCTCTGGACTTAAAGTTGCAACCTACCCCTCTTTACAAACAGTGTTGTAATTATATATATATATATATATATATATATATATATAATTATTTCTGGCCCAAGGTAGGTTTAAAACAAAAGTATGCTTGAAAAAAGTATTTATTTACTGTATGAGTGAACCAAACAGAATAAATAATCAAAATGAAATAAAGATACCACACTCAGAAAAATTGTTGGTCTGCAAGAAATTATTTATTGTTAATAGTGTCATAGACTGTCCAAAAAAAAAAAACCTGACTCCTGATTGCCATCCCATTTATTTTGGATACAAAACCGGTCACATATATTAAAGGGACACTATAGTCACCAAAACAATGTTAGCTTAATGAAGCATTTTTGATGTTTAGATCATGCCTCTGAAGTCTAAGTGCTCAATTCATTGCCATTTAGGAGTTAAATCACATGTGTTTCTGTTTATGCAGTCCTGGTCACACCTCCCATGGCTGTCACTCACACAGTCTGTATTAAAAAAAAAAAGTGGTTTCATTTTCAATCAGATACTTGCATTACAATTTTGTATTATCAGCTCTCTAAACTGAACTTTAACCACATACAGGAGGCTCCTGCAGGGTCTCGCAAGCTATTAACAGAGCAGGAGTTAGGAAATGCTACATTAAACAGAATTTGCAATAAAGGAAGTATAAACATTATATGACTCTTTACAGGAAGTGTTTATGAAGACTTTGTAAGTCACATCCAGGGAGGTGTGACTAGGCTGCATAAACAAAGTAATTTAACTCCTAAATGGCAGAGGATTGAGCAGTAAGACTGCAGGGATATGATCTATACACCAAACCTGCTTCATTAAACTGAAGTTGTATTGCTGACTATTTTGTCCCTTTACGTTTAAATTGTAAAAGAATGAGTACAATTCATAGAATTAATTGTAAAAAAATATTACCTTAAAGGATGAGCCATAAATAATCAGTCCAGTATTTTAAATACCACGAGTTCATGGTGTGCCTCCAGACACTCCGGCTCTGATTGTGATACATTTTATCTAAGCAGTACCTTGTCTATTACTCACATATTACTCACAATTAGTAGCATAGCACAACAGTATTGTTATTGATTAACGATTAAATAATAGAGAAAAAGTAGCAACTGTCAGAATCTCGGGAAGTACTCACTATGATTATCAGAATATCAGCTTATTGTCACTCACCATCAATTTACAGAATAAAATTACTGCACTATTTTGTATTATCAAGTTTTCACCATTTTCATTAGATTAGAAATTCATATCCCTCGTCGACTTCTGTTTTGACATCTTTAATAGTTTGTTTTCTTTCCTATTATCCAGTGCTTCAGAGCTTCATGTTCAAGTTTTAAAAATAGATGAGAATACTAACCAGAGACCTTATTACTGATTGCATTTCACAGCCTGTCCACATATAAAGACAACAGCATGTTCGTATTTGTTCTGCCTTAATATTGGTCTAATTCTCGGATCTGCACAAGAGTTACATATGTTCTTCTAATGGATTCTGTTTACTTACAGCAGAAGTGGTTGTGAGTTCCATATCTTTTCATTATTTCTAAACAATTGGCAGGTATAATGACACCACAACACACAGATATTTGCCATTCCTACCAATTCAACCACACAAGTGAGATGCTTCTATAGTTCTTTGTCTTCCTTACTCACCTCTCATCTAGTCCAATATTTTAATTAAATAATTTTTAACAATAATGAATAAAAAGTAAGCAATACAATTTAAACAAAGTAAAACAGAGGGAAAACACCCATCCAATATACAATGATCTACAACATATGTTGCATCAACTGTACCACTATTGAATCCTCTGATGACAATTTGTGACACTTCTGGTTAACATTTTAAATCTAACAATTTGAGACTCATGTTGAAGTAGCCAAGCCGAACGGCCGCACTCTCTGTGTGCTCTGCTACACCAATCAAAGAAATAGCCCAAGAAACACTTTCACCACCAAATAGCGAGACAAGCTGGGCCCCCCTACGGAGCCCTAATGATAAGGAAAGGAAAAACAAAAGCCAGAACAACCACGGCCGGGCGCGAGTATAGGAGATCTCTGGCAGCTAGCACATGGTGCTATGGAACCCAATATGGCCTCCTGGATCGAGGACGACTGCTGGCGGACCTCAGGCAGAATATCCAGGCCGATGTGGCCGACATCCGGATAGACATTCGAGCCCTGACCGGCCGCATGGGGGCTCTGGAGCAAGACTCCCAGAACCATACTCAACAAGCTGCTCTTCTGCACCAAGAGGTGAAGTCGATGCAAAGACAACACATGATAATTGTACAGAGGCTGGCAACCCTGGAAGACTCGCGACGGGCTCAGAACCTCAAGATACGAGGTATAACGGAAACCATTCCAGACACAGAGCTACCTTACTTCCTGAGGCGCCTTGTGAATGCAGTGCTCCCACCCAAGCAGACTAAAGGGGTGAGCGTTGACGGCATGTTTAGAAATCCCAAGCCGGCTACAGCCCCAACGGCAGCAACAAGAGACTTTATAGTCAGATTCCAGAGACAACAAGACGAAGAGCTAGTCATGACCACAATAAGGGGAAACTCACCGTACTCCTTTGAAGGTATGTCCCTTACCTTCTACACGGAACAATCCGAGGGAACCATGGCATGGAGAGGATCCCTTAAACCACTCACAGCCCTGTTCCATGCACACAACATCAAATATCAATGGTGATCGGCCCACAAGCTTCTGGGCCCCCACGGTGAAGCTACATATTTCATCGCGGATCAGCAGAAACCGTCGGTACACTTGGCGACCCTGGGTCTCCCATAGGACGCTCTAAAACAGTAATTTGTCCCCCTAGGGTTAACCCCCGACGCTTATGCGATGGCCACTACCTGAGCTCCCACTAAGGGTCTGCAGGGCCAGACCTTCTACTTCTAATGTTCCTACATGTTTACGGTTATTTCATTCATAAAGTTACCTGTTTGCACGTCTGTTTGGTGGTACCCCACACAATGTTATACCCTCCTGCCGCTACATATCTATCCACCACACGCAATTTTCCTACATTACCGACTTACTGAGCATATGGATGCTCTGCAGTGGCCCATGGGCGTGAAAGGAAGGAGTATCCGGGCGGCGGGCAAACAAGCAGCAACCTCAGCTACCAGCTATGCAAGCAGAATGAGGGAGTCGGTTGATCCATTAGTCTATACTGAACGCAGGCCTGCAATCAGTGAATAACTCAGAGAGAAGACCCTGGATGACATTTCATCTCTCTTTTTCGTTTATGTTTATTGAAGCTCATTTTGCTTCTCTACTCTTTAACTCACGCTTAATGCACAGTGTAGGGAGCGGCCATCTAGATTTTCAGATTCATTACCAACAGCATCACTAACACAAGACCTGCACAATTAATGTAGGCTTGCCATCTACAACTGTCTTTTACTAGCATTTATTTAGGCCCTTTATTTCTCAGCCTCTGTGACACACATTAGTCCGCCCTGTCGAGCAGCTATCTCCACAATCCTAATATTACCCACATGTTAACCTATTTGGGCAGCACTAGGGTACTTCACATACTTGCACACGCACACCACGCATAGCGAGCCCATTCATGTGCCACATGCGCAGCTTATATGCGGGACTATAGTGTCTCAAGGTTACCACCATAAGCTGCAGGTGCCCACTGCCACTACCTTATGGGCCTCACTCTCTCGTACCGTCTTCCTTTATTTTATTTTCATTTCATGTACATAAGTTGGGTTTCCATCTAGTTTTCCCTTTGCATATATAACTACTCAATTGCCACAGTAAGGCCACACATGAGCCACCTAGGTGGATATGCGCACGGAACCCTCATGGGTCTGTCTTTTACCCCCATATGATATTACCAACTGCGTTTGGCGGCAAAATCAACGAGTAAGACACCAACAGCCTAACAATTAACTATTACATTTATTTGATTTGTCTTGTAACAGGTCTATTAGTCATGAATACTTAGCTTGCACAATGTGACACTCTTCCAATAGGCGCATATCTTGAAGCATAATGCTAAATTTTAAAAGTGTGATTTAAGCAATTTCCATAATACTGTTATGTACCACATGTTTTCTTTATGTTTGATGAAGCTGTTGTGGCTTACCAAGCATTGTGTTATCTTTACGCACGCAATAAAAAAAGATTTACAAAAAAACAAAGGCATACTGTTCCCATTAAATAAATGTAGTAAATTTTATTGATGGTCCCCACGATAGAATCTTAATAAAGGGACTTTGTATACTCAATTTAGTAGCTTAAAATATAAGTAGCTTCATCGCATGTTGAACTCAAAAGGAGACAGATCTATTCATAGAAGAAAGTACAGCAACTGACAAACAGTGGTAAAAATATACCACAATGAATATGAAGTCAAATATTTATATTATGTCAGAACTACAAAGCTTATAAAACTCAGAAGGAAAGATGAAGTTACATTTGTAGCAGAGGTTAATGGGGCTAAAACCAGTTGTCAGCTGTCAATCAAAATAGAATATACTCAAACGCTCATACAGATCAAGTGAAAAAAAATATATATTTTTTTTTATTATTATATTTTTTTTTAATGAAGAACTAGTGGACCTTCAGATTAGGTGTAATGTTCCTGTAACGTTCCTAAAAAAAAAATAAGCTAGTCTCATGAAAGATTTTGTGATTCTGTCCTGAACAATAAATATATAGTTTATGATGGCCCCAGTGGCGTACCTAGAGCATTTGGCACCCGGGCGGATCCTGTGCTTGGCACCCCCTTGCCCCCCCAATTTCCCCCAGCGCCAGTTTGGCTCCACCTCCGATTTTGCTTAGCTCCGCCCCACTTTTCCTCCGTGCGGCAGTTTATCAGCTGTTTGCTTGTGTGAGCTGTACTGGCCGCACGGCACCCTAACTACCATGGGGCACTGTGCGGCCACAGCTCACACAGCCCCCTCCAGCCAGGGCCGGTGCAAGAATTTTTGCCGCCCAGGCAAAAGTAAAGTTTGCCGCCCCCCATGTGACATCACAATGCCCCACCCATATGATTTGCCATGTTATCTAACGCCAGTGCTGCAGTGCCGCCGTGTTTACATTAAAAGGCCTGCAGGGACAGGCTATAGACACCAGAACCACTACATTAAGCTGCTTCTTTAATGTGAGTGTTTCTTTAATGTGAGGTAAATTAGAGATTAGTGCCACGAATAATATACTCGATTGCCTACTTACAACCAGATGAGGATGATGATGGGCTCTAGCTGCAGTCTGGCTCCACTGGTCTGGTGTAGAACAGGCTCTCTGGAGGCGGTTTGTAACTGTGGTCACAAAAATCAATGTTCTGGGAGAACGGGAAGCAGCTCCATTTTTGGGGGGCCCTTCACACAGCTCAAGGTCTGGATCCCAGGGTCCACCTTCATGTTCCACCAATGAGTTTGTTCACAGGGGGTGGAGTGTGTAGGGGATGTCCTGATATGTGTGTAATGAATGCATTATGTGAATCTGTGTTTGTATGTGTAAGGGCTGCAAGGTGTGTTTCTGTGTATGTATGGGATGCATTGAGTGTGTGTAAGGGGTGCATTGAGTGTGTGTAATGAATGCATTGTGTGTTTCTGTGTGTGTAAGGGATGCATTGTGTGTAACAGTTGCCTTGCTTGTGTATGTGTGTCTGTGTGTGTAATGCAGTGTGTGTAATGCATTGTGTGTTTTTCTGTGTGCAAGGGGTACATTGTGTGTGATGAATGCCAATCTCTCCCCCCCCCTTCAATTTCCTTCTCTCCCCCCTCCAATTACCTTCTCCCCCTTCCCAATTTCTTTCTTTATCCCCCCTCCCAATTTCTTTCTTTATCCCCCTCTCCAATTTCCTTCTCCCCCCTCCCAACTTCTTTCTTTATCCCCGCCTCCCAATCTTTCTTTATCCCCCCTCTCCAATTTCCTTCTCTCCCCCCTCCAATTTCCTTCTCTCCCCTCCCAATTTCTTTCTTTATCCCCCTCTCCAATTTCTTTCTTTATCCCCCCTCCCAATCTTTCTTTATCCCCCCCTCTCCAATTTCCTTCTCCCCCTCCCAATTTCTTTCTTTATCCCCCCTCTCCAATTTTCTTCTCCCCCTCCCAATTTCTTTCTTTATCCCCCCTCCCAATCTTTATTTATCCCCCCAATGTTTC